ATTTAATAAGTGTTGGCTAGTAGTGCTAAACGCTGTTTACTCCCCAAATAAGTAAAGCTTTTATACTTGTGTGATACCTCTTCACAGGTATGAATTAGGAGCTGCTCTGTTTATTGGATGGGCAGGAGCCTCACTCTGCATAATTGGTGGTGTCATATTTTGCTTTTCAATATCTGACAACAACAAAGCACCCAGGTATGAAAAAGAGACAAAAATGACCTGTTAAAAAGTACAGTACTATTCTAAATTGTTACATGTGGGACAAATTATGGATAGTTCATATGAGTCTTAGAAACTTCAAAAACCCAGAATTGGGGCTTCCCTGGTGGCGCAGTGGTTGCGAGTCCGCCTGCCGATGCAGGGGACACGGGTTCGTGCCCCGGTCCGGGAGGATCCCACATGCCGCGGAGCGGCTGGGCCCGTGAGCCATGGCCGCTGAGCCTGCGCGTCTGGAGCCTGTGCTCCGCAACGGGAGAGGCCACAACAGTGAGAGGCCCGCGTGCTGCAAAAAACAACAACAACAAAAAAACAAAACCCCCCAGAATTGGGAAAGGTTAGGAATATATAGTAAATATGACTTTAATATAGTAACTATTATATTGAATAGCATAAATATAATTATAGTTCATTAAAAAAAACCCAGAGCTTGACATTCTTACATTCCAAAGCTATTGATGTAAGCAGAAATCTGGGTCTAACTCTGGGGGTATATTCTTCACTTTGGCCTCATCAGAATTTTCACATAGGCAGAAATTGCTGATTAAGGTCACCACAGTCTCCTAGTTTCCAGGAAGATGAGTTTTAAATAAGTATTTTTCTTTGTTTATAAGTTTATTTATTTATTATTTGGCTGCGTTGGGTTTTCGTTGCTGTGCGTGGGCTTTCTCTAGTTGCGGCGAGCGGGGGCTACTCTTCGTTGCGGTGCACAGGCTTCTCTTTGCGGTGGCTTCTCTTGTTGTGGGCTGTAGGCACGTGGGCTTCAGTAGTTGTGGCACATGGGCTTCAGTAGTTGTGGCTCGCAGGATCTAGAGCGCAGGCTCAGTAGCTGCGGCGCACGGGCCCAGTTGCTCCGCGGCATGTGGGATCTTCCCAGACCAGGGCTCGAAACCCGTGTCCCCTGCGTCGGCAGGCGGATTCTTAACCACTAGCGCCACCAGGGAAATATCCTTAAATAAGTTTTGAAGGAGAGTAACTGAACAAATTAAGAAGCCATGAGTTTCTTCTGCAGATTCTCTTGGTCACACCAGCTGTTCAGAAATGACATTGAACTATTTCTTGGGGAGAGGGAGAAGGGAAGAAAGCTAAAAGTAATCAGGGAGACAAACTTAGCTATGATGGAAGTAGGGGCAAAATGGTTTCTTCCCATTTTTGTTTGACCTACGTGTAAAAGACAATCTACCAAACTGTGTTTTGCCTTGCAGAATGGGATACACGTACAATGGGGCCACATCTATCATGTCTTCTCGGACAAAGTATCACGGTGGAGAAGATTTTAAAACCACAAACCCTTCAAAACAGTTTGATAAAAACGCTTACGTCTAAAAAGAGCGCTGCCCGCTAGCCGTGTCTTGAGCTTGTTTTAAACGTGAACTGTTCACGGAATGCTGCCATCAAGGCCCTCCTACAATTAACACTCAAACTATTTTTAAGATACAAATTTGAAGAACTTGTTGATTATCGGATGTAAATGTTCTTACATAGTTACATACTAATCATCTTGTTGTGGCTTTCTATACAAAAATAAACAGGCTATTTACAGGATTTGTATATATTTTATACATCATAAAATATGTATATGTATTTAGCACCAAAGATTCCAGTATTCGTAACGTAGGCTTCTTAATCATTCAGACCTTGCAGTCTTTGTCTCCATTTTTTATGTTTCTTTTTCTTCGTATATGAAACAGGTGGTGTATAAGGAGTTGTGTCTTGTAAACAGTATGGGGGCAATCTGAGACTGTTCCTCAGATGTTTGGGTTCAACGAACATGTACTGGCTGCGTAGAGCCGAGTTCTGGTTTCTGACCCCCGTCTGTCACCTCCATACTTCTCCACGGCTGCTCCAGCAAAGGGCTAACAGGGCCAAATGCTATTGCCCATCGCCTGGCACGTCCGCTTTAGATAACTGCTCCGGCTTCTGCAGTACAGAGAGCAGATCCTGGGGTGGGGCATCGGCAAGAGCAGAGCTGGAGACGCCCGTCATGGCCGACTTTGGGGCCAACAGAGGAAGGCCTGGAGCCGCGTTGTACCTGCCCCGCTCGGAAATAACGGACCAAGTTCCAGTATGTCGCTCAGGTCGTGTGCGTGTAACTAACCAGCAATGGAGAGAGAGCATTTTTCAAGACGTGTTAAGTTGCTCCAGTGATCTCTGACCAGACGCCGTTTTATTTCTAGGGCCAGCCCTTTTACCTCATGCCCGTAAGGGCGATAGTTATCTCAGTCTGCGTGTGCCCTCACTCACTCCGTCCTCACAACTGCCCCCTGAGGTAAGTGCTGTAGCAACCTGAGCTGGCAGGGGATGAAATGAAAGCAGAGTTGAAGTGACTTGCCGCGGCGAGTGACAAAACCAAGGCTTTGAACTGAGGCAGTCTAGTGTGAAATAATACAGTCTCAAGCTTTGGATAAGAATTGGTTGTCTGTGTAAATCTATGAGTCAGACCCTTTCCAATACTAATCACAGCATGGGTGACCATAACATTTTCATTTTCCTCAAGCAAAAGGAAAATCACATTGTTTGGAAGTGCTCAATGAAAGAAAAAGAACAAGTTTGTTACACACATATATCTATGTATGTGCATATATATACGTGTGTGTGTGTGTGTGTGTGTGTGTGTGTGTGTGTGTATATATATATATGATTTTTTTCCCAGACCATAATAATACTTGAATACCTTTTCCAGGGACACAAATGAACTGAAAGCCGTGGAGGGAGGTTAGGTGCTACAGGCCAGTGGCGGGGCCGGGTTTTGTGAGTGTGTGTTTAAAACAAATTTTTAAATTTCAGAGCTGTACTGGTGAAGACAATATTTTGATTGTACTGAACTGTTGTAGCTTCTGAAGAATTTAGAAAGAAGGGGTCAAAGTACAGAAACACTGCATCAGTAGCCAGAAACACATTAGTCGTGTGTCAGTGAGGAGAAATCTAAGGCGATAGCCCAAAGGAAAACGAACACGCCAATTCTAGTGCAATCTAAAATGACAGGACTAAACAGATGAAGGATCGGTCTTTTCAACATAACTGTTGGGTTTCCTTAGCGGACATTCATCATATTTCCCCAACCCTTTCTGCTCAGGAATTAAGACCTGGCAGACCCAGGACTTGGATTTGAGACCCGGTTTAAAGCCTACTTTTGTCACTTTCTAAGTGTATGGCTTTGGCAAGTTATTGTATAACTGTTTCTCACATCTTCAAGAAAATTATAATAACTGTGTCTCAGAGTTGTTCTAATTAAGTGAACGAATAATGCATGCTAAAAACAAACAAGGAGCTCAACAGATCTCTGGAATAAGTGAGTGAATGTAAGGGCCTGGGTTCCTTCTTAGGCGTTGTTGTAGGTTGCTTATCTCTGTCCTACTACAATGAAGATTTGATTCAGCATTTATTAGAGCTTTTAGAAACTTATATATAAAGTGAGTACATCTGCATAAAATTGGCCTTTGTGGGAAGTTTTTAAAAGGGTGAGAGTGGCCCACAGGTAAAAAGGACTCTGGTGGGGCAGAAACAGATAAAACATTGTTTTAACTTTTAGGTCAGTGTGTTTACATGGCACAGCTACCAAGGCAAGCTTAAATCCTCTAACGAGATAAGCCTAACTCAGAGATCAGCTCTAATAACTCAGCCACAGTCACAAGGATGTAATGGAGGGCTTTACTTGAAAGGTTGGCAAAATGAAGAAAGATCCAAAATCCAAAAAACCATTTAGTTAAAACGTAACTTTTTTTTGGAAACAGAGTACAGATAGTACCACAAAGTATAAAAAATGCAGAAAACAGTTTATATGAACTTTCTGAATATTGACAATGTCATTGTTAAGAATAAAACTAAGTTAGTTTTGAGGTACTTTAGAATACGGGTTGGGCATTTAAAAAAGTGAAAAAAACTACAGACACATATGAATTCAGTATTGACTCGATCTATTCTGTTTATAGATAAATTAACTGACATTTAAACTGGCTACATTTTATTCACAAAATATCCAAGGTAAAGATGATGCCACAGAAGTGGTATTTAAAGTTCTAAAATAAAACAACATGCTTACAACGGCTCAAAGCTGCATATGGTAAAAGTACTTCTGGAAAATGGAGTTATCTAACGTGGGCCTAGCTATATTTTTATAACTCTAAACTTCTATATGAAAAATAAGCAATCTATTCTTAAGATTTCACTGATTCCACTAATTCAATTTTAAGGATACTAACAGAACTTTATAACAAAACACTTCCAACGTGACAACATACATAAGAAAGATATAAAAAAAGGTTTCAATTCAAACCAAAACCTGCTATAAGAAGTTTAAAAAAAGATTCACTTAAAGATTAGTTGAAAAAATACACTTAAACACTAGAGTACCGTTCTGAAGAAAAAACTTTTTATGACTTCAATGACACATTATTTTTAAGCAGCAGCAGTCTTAAACACCTTTATATGCTTCAAAATACTGCTGACAGTTTGTTTTGTAATAACTGCATTAGGTGCCACTGAAGGGACTCTTGTTCTTTGAGAGTCAGCTTCCTTGTTACTGTAGGAGATACTGCCAAGCAGGAGCATTAGAGTCGTGTAG